GAAAGCATTAGAATGGCTCCATTTGAAGCACTCTATGGTCGTGAGATGCGAACATCGTTGAGTTGGTCTCGAGCCGGAGAAAGAAGATTCTTTGGAGTTGATCTTGTGAAAGAAAGAAGAAGACAAGGTTAGGCAAATACAAAGTAATTTGAAGATAGCTCGATCCCGACAAAAGAGTTATGCGATATAAGCAGGCGTCGACCATTGACGTTTAACAAAGGGGACTTTGTGTATCTTAAAGTATCACCAATGAAGGGAGTTACTCGTTTTGGTGTTAAAGGCAAGTTAGCACCTCGATATATTGGACCATTTCAAATTTTGGAGAGGTATGGAAAAGTGGCCTATCGCTTGAAATTACCGAACATCTATCGGTGATTGCATGATGTATTCCATGTTTCTCAATTGAAGAAGTGTCTCCGAGTGCCCGAAAGCGAATGTTGAGATTGAGGGGTAGGACTTGAATCGATTTGACTTATTCGTAATATCCTATCCGAGTGTTGGCTCGGAAAGATCGTGTTACTCGAGGGAGGACAATAAAGTTCTATAAAATACAATGGAATCAACATTCCGAAGAGGAAGCTACACGGGAATCGAAGATTACTTGTTAGAAAAATTTCCGAGTTTCTAAGCGTCAATATAGAATAGATAATATTAGTTGAGCTCGGTTACTACAAATAGTGTTTTGTAAAGAAACCTCACTTGTTTTATGGAAGAGTTCGGGATGTTTTGGATTAACACATTTCCTTTTCCATTACTTACTCAGTGGCTTTGAATCTCGGGCGAGATTTCTTTTAGGGGAAGGATTGTAACACCTCGGGTGTTTAAAATACTAAAACCTGACATGTCATCATATGCATTGCAAAAGCATTTGGCATTTGGTGAAAACTTTGAGATGCATACACTAAAACAAGTTTATATTCATGTGGTATGTGTTGAATTGTATTGTTTGACTTAAATTCAAAGTTTGTTTGGATTTTGAATTTTTCGAGAAAACCCCGCTTTTCAAAGATTTAAATCCTACCTGAAAAAATCCATTTCAAAATCTAGACAGAAATTAGGAGATGGTTATAGAAGCAAAGTTGTAGAACTTTCAATTTTGAACAACTTTTGTTTTTGGAGATTTTTGAGTTGTTATGAAAAATTTGAGAGTAAATTGTGAATTTTTGGCGTATGGCAATTTTGTAATTTTGTGAACAGTGTTCACCGCCTAAGCTACATTGCCGTCGTTCCTTCTTCTTCGGTGTTCCAGCGTGTCGTGGTGGCCGTCTTTGATGTCGCTACCGGCACGGAAATAGCTCCGTCGTGGCTTTCCTTGAGCTTCTGCGCGCTATAAGTACCAAGACGTCGTCATCGCTGTCTTTTTCTTCCTTTGTTTTCACCACCGTCGTTGTCATCGCTCCAACAAGCTCGCATCGTCTCCCTAGCGCTGTTGCCATCTCGGTAAAGGCCGTCCTAGTTCCGTCTTTTTTCCTTGCGAATCCAAATGACTAGCCTTGATCGCTTTGAAATTGCCGAGAACTTCGCCCACGCGTTTTTCTTCCTCGAGGTCAAGAACTTCACCGCTGCGAGCGTGTCATCGTGGCGAGTTTTTTCGGTGAGCCGTTGTCTCATCGTCGGTGTACTTACGGTTTCGTTTTGATCTTAGTCTTTAAGTCGATTGTTGTTTACTCATTTTGATCGCTTGCGATCGCGCGGTTCTCCCTTACCGACGATCTTTGCTTCGGATAGTTCACCATAGTGGTCGGATAGTTCACCATAGTGGTCGGATAGTTCACCATAGTGGTCGGATAGTTCACCATAGTGGTCGGATAGTTCACCATAGTGGTCGGATAGTTCACCATAGTGGTCGGATAGTTCACCATAGTGGTCGGAGAGTTCACCAAAGTGATCGGTGCTAGCGTGGTCTCATCAGTTACGATTATGGTTTGGTTAATTTGGTTTGTAATCAGATCGCGAAGAAAAATTGTATCCAATTTATTTATTTTTGTATCCATCATCGAGCATCATGTTTCATATTCCACATCATGTTAAGCATGGCAATGTTACTACGTGTAGTAAACGAAGGTGAGCACGTGGTAGTTAATCAAGTTGCGGAGGAGGTTGATCTGCTGTTGAGGTCGGATCGAAGACTTGTGAAACGTCGCGAGAGCCGGCTTTTTCCGTCAACGAAGGCAAGCCCGGATGCATATAACCCTACCTTGTATTTTACAAATTGATTTCGCTTTTGCTTTTCAATATTGCATTAAGTGATTAGAAGTCAAGTGGAAACCTAATTGTTGCATTATCAACCTTGTTGTTCCATATCTACTTTGTTACCCGTTTAAAAATCGTATATGCCTAGTTATGCTTAGCTCGCTTAGACCGATCGAGTTGGGTGATACTGTCACCGCAAGTTTTAAATGGAACATTGGTTAATTATGTTAGCATGTGATATGGGAATGTGGAGTAATAAATCTAGACCCCAAGGCGGACTTTCGGTGTGTGTGAGCCACAAGACATGGAGGTCTTGTGAGCGGGTTCTTTCCGCTTTATGTGTGTTATTAAGGTCCGTCACTGTTGTTGACTGTGTGTGAGTTGAGAATTTGTAGTACTAACCACATACTCCGTGTAAGCCTAAACTTGGCGATTCTATTACGAGAATGGCTACTCGCGCCTTTGGGAGTGGAGAGATGGCGGAGAGTAGCGTGTACCCTCGTGGGTTTGGAATGTGGCGGATTTGAGGTGTCTTTGTGCTCTCGGGTGGCGCGGACCCGTTCTTGTTTCAGAGGATCCAAGGGTAGGTTGGTATATGTAGGTCGTGGACCTACATATGTCGTGGTGGTCTGAATTCCCAAATTGGGTTTATAATCGGTTCGAATCGTCGTTGCTCCTCGGTTATGGAGACTCAATTCTCGATCATCATCATCGTAGTATTAATAATCGGAACTCGAGAATGGTTCGAGAAAGTGTTGGATATGAAGTTTCATGATCTTAATGCGGATCGTGTCAGCTTTGTATATGATCTGATGAGATTTTAAATATTGATACAAAGAATTTTGTTAAAATGCTTTTAAGCAAAAGAACTTTGATTATTGCTAAAGCCATACCTTGAATCCACGAGCCCACGCATTCCCGAGTCTTATCGCTTTTATTTCGGTTAAGTCTTGTTGAGTACTTTCATACTCGTGGTTTGTTGACCCTTGTTGCGGTGAGGCTCATGAGCGCGTCTGTTTTGGATCGTCTTTGCATGACCGTTGTTCAATCGATGATGATGATAAGTAATGTGTGGCCCTTGGGCAGGGAAGTGATATTTGTGTGTTTTGTATATATTATAATGCCACTCCACTACTACGTTTTGTTTTAATAATCGAACTTAGTTTGTAAGGTTTGAAATAAATGTTTTGTAAACTAAGTTATTGTAAGACTTCCGCTGATTTACTCTGTGTTGATTTTTGGATAAATGTTGTAATAATGCAATGACTCTGTAATGTGATCCTGCTCGGAAATCGTGGATGATTCGGGGTTCTCCGAGGACACCCGACAGTCTTCTTAAGTTATCGGTAACATATGCATAAATGTCAAAGGTCGTTGGACAGTGACAGGTGCATGTGGGCCCTATAATTTAGGAGGTTCTGCCACAACCACCCACTTCGCGCCCAGATGGCCTAAGATCAGCAGCCACTTTCCCAACGGGGCTTCGTCGTCATTATGAAGCATGGCCACCATGCCAAAATATCATCGGAGAGCTTTGGGACTCTTTTCTTCCTCTTATGTCCCTGCCCCTTTCCTTTTTGTTTCACAGGATGCTGCTCGGACGGAACGGAGACGTCGCAAAATGGAACGAGCCTTCTTCTACTACTAGCGCTCATCTTCTCCGAGCACGGCGAGCTCCCCACACCCACCCGCCTCCCCACGTCCCCACGCCGAAAGCACCCCACGCCAGCGGCGTCACCGCCTTTATACGCACGCCATGGCGGCCCCACTCCTTAGCCGTGTGTCGCAACGCCTCCCATCGCCGCCCCCACGCCGGCCATGGAGTACAACCACGACAATGACAAGAAACGACCTTCGGCTCCACAAATCGGGCAAGCCGTGGTGCTCTCGACCGCCGCAAGCAATGCTAGGCCGCCGCGCTCCTCTACCGCTTGACCGCGGCCAGGCGCCAGCGCTCCTCCCTACCAGCCGACCACGGAGGCGCAGACAGAGGTACCGCCGAGATCGATATGGATTTCGCGATCTGCGTTGAGTGGTGCTGGATCCACCGAAAGAGGATACTTTGGGGAGCTAGAAGATGGAACCGAACCAGAACACCCGATCCACTCCATGGCGGGCTGCTGTCGTCACCACATCCCACCACCGTGCACCCCGCATCTCCATCCCGTTGTTCGTTGTAGCTCGCTAGTCACTCGACAGAGCGGGGACGCCACAAGGCAGCAGGCCGCTGGGCTGGGTCGGGCCGCCGCAGCACCAGCCAGGGCCCGCCTCTGCTGGGGAGCCGAGCGCACGTGGGGGAAGGGGTCGACGCCGCCGGTCGGGGAAGGGGCGGATTAGCGCCGCCGCGGATCGGGGAAGGAGCGGGGCCGCGCCACCGCGGGTCGGGGAAGGGGCGAGGCCACGCGCCGCCGGTCGGGGAGGAGCTGGGCATTGGCCGCCCCTCTGCTCCGGTGAAAGAGACAGGGGCAAAAGAGAAAGAAAATAGTTCCAAATTCATCATATGACGTTCTAGCGAGTGGGTCGTGTTTTATAACGAAAGCCGGTGAAGCCTCGTCGTGGGATGGTAAATCGTCCGAAGCCCATTTTTCCGTGATGGTCGAATTCCAAGAAGCTCACGAACGAACGAACAAGGCGCACCAAACGTCCAAACCTTAAAACCGACGGAAAGAGAAGACCCACATCTCACCGTTCACTCTCTCCTCCTCCCTCCCCCTCCGCTCCCATCCCTCCCAGATCCCGATCCGCCGCCGCCTGCGGCAGATCCAGCCACCGCCTCCTCCTCCCGCCGCAGATCCGCCGCGGCCGCTATGGAGAAGCCATGCTCTCTCCTGGTCCACTTCGACAAGGGCTCGGCCGCGATGGCGAACGAGATCAAGGCGGATCTGGAGGGCGGCGATGGCCCCGCCAAAGCCGACGCCATGCGCCGCGCCATCTCGCTCCTCATCAACGGCGAGACCCTCCCGCAGCTCTTCATCACCATCGTCCGCTACGTGCTCCCCTCCGAGGACCACACCGTGCAGAAGCTGCTCCTCCTCTACCTCGAGATCATTGACCGCCGGGATCCGGCCGGCCGCGCCCTGCCGGAGATGATCCTCATCTGCCAGAACCTCCGCAACAACCTCCAGAGCCCCAACGAGTACATCCGCGGCGTCACGCTGCGGTTCCTCTGCAGGCTCTCCGAGCCCGAGGTGCTCGAGCCGCTCGTCCCGTCCGTGCTCGCGAACCTCGAGCACAGGCACCACTTCATCAGGAGACACGCCGTCTCCGCGGTTTCCGCGATCTACCGCCTCCCGCATGGTGACCAGCTCATCCCCGACGCGCCGGAGCTCGTCGAGCGGTTCCTCGCGTCTGAGCAGGACGCGTCCGCGCGGAGGAACGCATTCCTCATGCTCTGTGCCTGCGCACAGGACCGCGCCGTCGCCTACCTGCTCTCCAACGCCGACCGAGTCGCTGAGTGGCCCGATCTGCTGCAGATGGCCGTTGTGGATCTCATCCGCAAGGCCTGCCGATCCCAGAACCGCGCCAACAAGGGAAGGTATATCACCATCATTACCTCGCTGCTCTCCACACCCAGCACGGCGGTTGTTTATGAATGTGCTGGCGCCCTGGTGTCACTCTCTTCGGCGCCCACGGCCGTGCGAGCCGCTGCCAACACCTACTGCCAGTTGCTCTCGTCGCAGAGTGACAACAATGTGAAGCTCATTCTACTGGATCGCCTTAACGAGCTGCGCACCTCGCACCGGGATGTCATGGTGGGGGTGGTGATGGACGTGCTTCGTGCACTGGCCAGCCCCAACTTAGATGTCAAGAGAAAGGTTCTTGATTTAGTGCTTGATCTGCTCACCCCGCGTAACGTCGAGGAGGTGGTGCTTTATCTGAAGAAGGAGGTGGTCAAGACACAGGCTGGAGACCTCGAGAAGGGTGGCGAGTACCGCCAGATGCTGGTGCAGGCCATTCATGCCTGCGCTGTTGAGTACCCAGAGGTGGCTGGGTCTGTAGTGCACCTCCTCATGGACTTTCTTGGTGACACCAATGTTGCTGCAGCTGTTGATGTTGTGCTGTTTGTACGTGAGATCATTGAAACCAATCCGAAGCTGCGTGTTTCCATGATCCAGAGGCTGATTGATACATTCTATCAGATTCGGGCATCCCGGGTCTGCTCATGTGCTCTCTGGATCCTTGGAGAGTACTCCCTCTCTCTATCAGAGGTTGAAAGCGCCATTGCTACCATTAAACAATGTCTTGGGGATCTACCATTCTACACTGTCTCTGATGAAGGGGAGGCAACTGATTCCGCCAAGCCAGCCCAGGCGGTGGTGAACTCTGTCACTGTATCTTCCAGGCCGCCTGTTGTTCTTGCAGATGGCACCTATGCCACACAAAGTGCTGCTACCGAGACCATTTCGACTCCATCAGTTGCTCCTGGGTCACTAGCTTCAACCCTGAACCTCAGATCACTCATTCTGTCAGGTGATTTCTTCCTGGCTGCTGTTGTTGCATGTACCCTGACCAAGATTGTGTTGAGGCTGGAAGAAGTGCAGCCATCTAAGGTTGAATCAAACAAGGCTTGCACTGGAGCATTGCTGATCATGACATCGATTCTGCAGCTGGGCCAGTCTTCTTACCTTCCCCACCCGATTGATAATGATTCATATGATAGGATTGTGCTGTGTGTGAGATTGCTTTGCAATACTGGTGATGATGTCAGGAAGATTTGGTTGCAGTCATGCAGACAGAGCTTTGCGAAAATGCTTGCAGAGAAGCAGTTCAGGGAGACAGAGGAGATGAAGGCAAAGGCACAGATCTCTCATGCCCAGCCAGATGATCTTATTGATTTTTACCACCTCAAGAGCAGGAAGGTAAGAAAAATAGCTCTCTTGTTGCATTTTCACTTATAGAAATGCCAATATTTTCTTTGCTGAACCGATATTAGTTTAGATAATATTGTCTCATTAGTGCATTAAAATGATGATTGGCTTAATGCTGTTTCCAATTTGTTGATGTGGTCAGAGATAAATTCTTATTATCTAGAATATAAAATGCTACTCTATGCTGCATCCAAGAGTGATGAACTCTTTTTCATTCACTTTACAAGTAAAAAAAGTTTAGAATAGGATATGACACTAGAGTGATGCATCCGCCATCTGCAGTTTGTGTTCCTACATTGTCTATTTGTCTTACAACCTATTTTAAGTTTTTAACATTTCTATTTGGCAGTCTTTAAGAGTACGTCAACTTATAATTTATAAACAATAACTTGTATGAAATCCCCCCACCCCTTTGGAGCAATAATTTGTCACAGCCGACACACATTTATCTCTCTTTGCTTGCATTGTCGTCTCTTGCATTGTCGTCTCATGCAATAATTTGTTCTGTAAACAGTCATGAGCAAGCCTTTTTCATGCTCTTGTGATTTTATGGTGTGCAATGTTTGCACGGTCAACATATGTATGCCCGAACTTCCTGCTGTAGTTCCATTGAATTCATGTTCTGTTTGATTTAAACTTCTAGTCCATACTTCAAGTCATGTTGATCCTTCAAGAGGTAATAAGCTAGTAAACTTTTGTCCAGGAGAAGGAAAATCACGTCTTCTTTGGTAGAGATAAAGCCAAATAATTTTTTGAACAGTTGTGCCAGTGATGATAGATAAATTGCATGTTAAGGTAGACACACAAGTTGACCACAAATTGTTCATGTGTGGTGTGACTAAGGTCTGCTCTTAATGTTTAATATGGCGATGCATGTCGTAAGTCTGTTGTTGTGTATTGTCTTGGTTGATACCTTGCCACTTTTAGTGTGGCCTTCACATTTGCACCTTCAGTTATTAAAGCATGCTATTTTGTTGTCATAGGGCATGAGCCAGCTTGAGTTGGAAGATGAGGTGCATGATGATTTGAAGGCTGCAACTGGTGGGTTTACTAAGGATGCAGATGATGCAAACAAGCTCAACCGCATTCTTCAGTTGACTGGTTTCAGTGATCCTGTGTATGCTGAAGCATTTGTAACAGTACACCATTATGACATTGTACTTGATGTTACTGTCATTAACCGTACAAAGGAGACACTTCAGAACTTGTGCTTGGAATTGGCTACAATGGGAGACCTGAAACTTGTTGATCGCCCTCAGAACTACACCTTGGCTCCTGAGTCTAGCAAACAGATCCGTGCTAATATCAAGGTTTCATCAACAGAGACTGGAGTTATATTTGGCAACATAGTTTATGAGACTTCAAATGTGATGGAACGATCAGTGGTTGTCCTAAATGATATTCACATCGACATCATGGATTACATCTCACCTGCTATGTGTGCTGATGTTACTTTCCGGAACATGTGGGCAGAATTTGAATGGGAAAATAAGGTATAACAATCTTCTCTGTACATTACAGTTGTGTGAAATCTTTGTTTTGGCAAGATGCTGAGATGTTATCTCTTCTTAAACTGTAATCTCCTAGCAGCGGCCTTCTCCAATCCAAGAACTATTAAAAGCTATGGCGGGATATAACAAAAGCTACTTCATTTAACGGTCTTTTAGAAAACATGAAAATTCCTAATTTAACATTTAACTAAGTAAAATTTCATGAACGCAAATACTCAAGCACATGTATAGGGCTCTTGGAGAACATGTCAGCAATTGTGGATATAATACTAAAATTCTTTCAGTGTTTGATTTCTCTAGTCATTTTTCATGCAAGACGGACACAGCATTACTTTCTTTTGTGCAAATGGATGAGAAAAAAAAAAGATGTTTTAGTTTGAAACCTTTTCTGTTTTTACCAAAATTTTCTTTGGAAGACCTGTGACGCATAGGATGGGTGCTCCATATTGTGCACCGTGTTGTAATTGATTTATTATTCAGTTGCTGTGTGTATTGTTAGTGACCTGCTCTGGTGAATCTGGAATTCATTAATTTTTTTCTGCCATGCTCCTTTATGTTATGTCTGGGAAAACCTTCTTTGTGATTGGTTTGACTTCTTTTGCTAAGATTTGTTGTTTCTCGTTATCAGGTTGCAGTGAATACTGTGATTCAGGATGAGAAGGAATTCTTGAATCACATTATCAAGTCAACAAACATGAAGTGTCTGACACCACCGTAAGTCGTTCAGAAAACTGGTCGTTCAAGTTGACCTGCGGATGGATTAACTATATCTTTAATTTTATGTATATTATCTTAGGCATGTAAAACTGTTTCATTTTTAAGCCCATAATCTTGAATATGACTAGTTAACTCTCATGCATGGCGCATATGAAAATATTCAGAGGTTAGATTCTTCAATTACTGTGCTGAAATTGGCAGGCTAATCTATTATCAATCTAACTTCTAGCTCAATGCCAAGTTTTTGTTTGTTTGTAGACTAAGTACAAATAAAATCATCTGACCTTGGAGAAATGTAACTTCCCAAACAAACCTTTCTCAAGTTGGAGGCAATACCACCTTTTTCACTTATAGCATGCAAGTGGTCAACTTTCGCTCCCATGCAAGGATAGTTTTATTTGTCCAAAATAGCAAGAGATGGACTTTATGTTTTTGTACAATTAGATGATGAATTAATTTATTTAGCTGAAATTTGTAGAAGTTTTGTCTTTTAGCTTTGAGCGGATGTGTTTGACATGGTGAATTGGGTGAATTTCTGCCAAAATATTTGCATGTTCTCTGAACTTCTAACCCTTTGCTTGACATCAGGTCTGCACTAGACGGAGAATGTGGTTTCCTTGCTGCTAATCTTTATGCAAAGAGTGTGTTTGGGGAGGATGCTTTGGTGAACATCAGCATTGAGAAGCAACATGATGGCAAGCTCAGTGGTTACATCCGAATAAGGAGCAAGACCCAGGGAATTGCGCTCAGCTTAGGGGACAAGATTACCCTCAAGCAGAAGGGTGGCAGTTAACTGTGACAAGTGTCACAGTTGTATCATCATTTTTCTCGTTTAGGAAATCCACGTGCCGGAGATACCAGTGCCGTGGCATTGAACTGAGTATAAATGCTTTTTGTACAAAAGGATCAAAGAAAGAGATAAGAGGACAGTTATGAGGAAGTCACGGCGTTAGATCCCTGAGCATGAAGTTCTCGGTCGAAGATCCATGTTGCTGTAGTAACGTTGCTGTTCCAACTTCCTTTCCTGATAAAATGACAATGTAGAAATAGTTGTGAAGTTTATGTTGATTTCTCGACAGGTAGATCAATTGTGATCTTGTACTATTATGAATCCCACTTGTTTCGATGTTATATTTTGCTTTTATTTAAATTTTGTGGTCTTGAAACAGAAGCTCGGAGGTGGTGTTGTCACCCTATTTTTTTTAGAGAGCAATTTGAGCTCATGTTCTGTTACATATAGATTTGCCTGCGGCGGCGGTTGTGTTAGGTTGCTTTGTGTTGCTTAGGGCTCACTGGATAGGTAAAAATTCCAAGTAGGACTATTAAATCCTTCATATTAGTCTTTACTAATTAAGCAACTATTAATAAGACTTAATATGATCCACTTAATTTAACAAGGAAATTAAAAACTTAAAGCATCACCACTGGTACTGCTAATAGTTTTGAATAGTCAAAAATATGAAGTCTAAAAACACGTGATTTAAGTTCTTCTAGAGAAACTTTGAATGCTCTAATATCTATCTATTGTTACACTATGGTTAACACTTAGGCGATAATAATAGATTGAAGTAGAATTTGTGATTTGGGATCATCGTGTGCAGGTGATAAGAGACCAAAAGAAAAAATTTAGTAGACCACCCATAAAACAAATGTATTTTAATGATACTTGTGTCGAGAGTTCTGACCCATATGTCAGACCCCTTCTAAGTCCATGACCATCAAAAGATCGGACTAGCTAGCGTCCGGAAGTTCGATTCTGGCGCTAGCGTCCAGACGCTGCCCACAAAGGGAGCAAACGAGCGTCTAGCGTGCTGGGCTCGCGAGGGAGTGCACCAGTAGTGGTTCCACACCGCCCTGGATGTCGCCCACGCCGCCTCGGACGTCGCCCGCACTGCTGACCGCTTCCCACGCGCATCCCACGTGCAACACACAATCTACTTTTGAAACATCCAGATGCAATAGTTGCAACATACAAAAGAAGACAGATGAAACACTTGAAACAAGCGTATGAAACACTTACAAAAACGCCTAAAAATATTTGAAAACCATTGCAAACATATGCAACATTCAGATAAAACACTTGCAAGCATACGTACGAAACACCTGAAAACACTTGAAACATATGCTTGAAACATGCATGTATATGCAGCATCTAGATCTACTTTTGCAACATCCAGATAAAACACTTGCAACATGAGTCTGCAATAGATGAAACATTTAGAACATACACTTAAACATACGTGTATAGTCATTACAACATGTGTAACATCCTAATTTACTTTTGCAACATCCATATACAATACTTCCAACATACATCGAAAACATCTGAAACATTTAAAACATACTATGGCAACATGCGCTTTCAGCGTAGCATCTGCTGCTGTTTGGACGAATGGAGGCTCGTCGACATGGAGCTCGACGCTGGCACGAAGCTCGAAGTCGCGGAGTGGCGCGGAGGTCGATGGCGGCGGCACGAACCTCGATAGGGGTAGGAGCAAGTGGATGGAGCACGACCGCGACAGGAGGCGCGAGTCCGGGAGCGAGCCAGCGAGCGCCTAGCGCGTCGGGCTCGCCATGCACGGCGTGGGCGCGAGTGGGGGCGGTGTGTGGTGAGGACAGGATCCGTCCCGCGAGCAGAGTGAGCGGGCGATGTGGGCAAGGGCGGCGTGGGCGAGTGCAGGGTCCATCAGTCCGGACGGATGCTCTGTAAGGAGCGTTTCCGTCAAAACATTTCAAGCAAGCAGAATCCCCAAATACCTTCTTCATGCTACATGCATACCTTCACATGCCAAGCATTCTCAAGCAATCCGCCAAAACATACAGCCCTTAGATTCTTCGTACAAGGAAATGCATCCTCCATTGCTATGGCACTGGAATAGCTTCTAAAGATGCTAGAAAAATGAGCTTACCAACCACAATAATATCAGTACTACCACCACTGCAAGTCTGTAACCTTCCTGGTTGCACCAAATTGACCATTGGGCTTCTGTACAAACTGTAACAATACCTAGCAGTAATCTCTCGAACCATGGTTTAGTGTCCTGTTCGTTTGGCTGATAAGCCATGGCTGAAAGTACCGTTGGCTGATTTGTTGTGAAAGAAAAATATTGTTCGTTGATTAAAAAAGTGTGGCTTATAAGCCAAGCGAACAGGGCGTAGGATGCACCTAATTTCGGTGCTCTTCCTGAGGACATGGGCTCCGTTCGCGTGCCCTTAAACCCGGCTTGATCCGCTTCTTTTTTTCATCCGGAACAGTGTTTTCCTCTCACAGATTCCTCCAGCATTCCTCCAAACCATTCAAATTCCTCCTAGCGAACAGCGCCATGGTTTGTTTCAGTTTGGGGCAGTAAAAGTGACAGTCTGATAGATCATCATCGTAATCCCAAACTGAAACTGAAACGAAGAAGGCCTTCTTAGGCTGACGATGATGAGACCCACAGAATTTCTTCCCTACTAGGGCCTACTTAGGCAGTGATCAACTGATCATCGTACGATTGATTGCTTGGTGACGTCTGACACTATTGTGCGTTCATTCAAAGGAAGCAGGCGACATGCTGCGCAGCCGCCAAAATATAAGGGAGAAAAGAAAAGGGAGCCGGATTATTGAAAGCGGAAAGAAATAAGACTGCCGCGAGCGCCCGATTAGAATACGTCACCCCTTCCCGGAATTTGAGCCTCATTTCTTGGCCTGCAGACAAACCCTTGCATCCCCCCTGCCTGTGCCACCATTCTCGCTCGCTTCAAAGCCCGGCAAATGTGCGTGCGCCTGCAAGAGAACACTGACAGGACATATATATGTAAAACCATGTCCTTCGCCATCCGGATTAAGTTAACTACACGAATTTGACGATTGCATTCCAGCGGAAATTTCTCTAGATTCTTACACGTACTGCACAAGTGTACTACACAACAGATGGCAGCAGAGCTTGCCCAAGCAGCAAGTCGCGTACGTAGCTCGCGAGAGGTGGTACACTACTGCATTCATGATTCTCTGGTCAGAGGCTCAGAGCCCTCTGGGATTAGAGTTGCAAATTGCAATCATTGGGTGCATGAATTGCAGTGCAAAGGGATCGTGGTCAAAATCTCAGTTTCTTTGGGCTGGAAACGAGGCCACGCCCCATCATTTCCTGCTGACGCTACACCTATATATACAGGCATAGTACCAGTCAGCAGTCACCCATCCCATAACAATTCCAGTTCCATTTTACATCCCGCGCCAAGAAGCCAATAAAGTTGTTTCCCTCCGAGCTGAGCGCGCTACACCTTGCCGGACGCGGACCACGGCGGACATGGAAGACCTCGCGGCCTCGTTCGTGCCGTACCCGCACAGCGCGCCGCTCTACCTGCTCTACGACGCCGCCAGCATCGCCAACGCCAGCCACGGGCTGGTGGCGCCGCCGCCGCCGCCGCCGCTGCCGCTCCTCGACGACGACGACGACGGCTTCGCGTTCGCCACGACGACGACGACCCTTAACGGCGGCGGCGCGGCGGCGCTACGCGCGTGCGCCAGCGACGTGTCGGCGGCGTCCTTCGCGGACGAGCTGTTCCGCGCCGGCGCGCTGCTCCCGCTGAGCCTGCCCCCGCGGCTGCAGCGGCCCGCCGCGTACTCCGCCTCCGCGGGGGCCTCGGCCGCGACGTCGCCCACCATGTCGTCGTCCGCGGCCAGCGCCAGCTGCAGGAGCAGCAGGAAGCACAGGGGGTTCGACCCGTTCGCGGCGGCGCTCGAGAAGGTGCGCAGGGACGGTGGCGCGCCTGCAGTGAGGCGCGCAAGGTCGCTCTCTCCACTGCGTGGCGCTGCCGCTGCCGCGGTCACCGCACAAACGAACAGCGGCGGCGGCGACTCGTCGCGCGCCGCGGCGAGGCGGGCGAGGAAGGGGAAGGGCCGCGGTGTCAGGCACCTGCTGTGCAGGGTCCTGATGGCGAGCGCCGCCGCGGCGCCCAAAGCGCTGTGGCCGCGTAGGAAAGACGGCGTGTCTTACCGTCCAGGTCTGCTCGTCTGCCTCGGATATGGCGTGTGAGGGAGACCGGAGATGATGAGAGCCCGCGTCCGTCTCCGTCATGCTTCTGCTCTACACATTGTCAATGGTCTGATGGTATGGAGGCTGGAAATCTCTCCGCCCACCTTAGCTATTAGGGCTGTGAAAATTATTCCTGCAGAGCATAAAAATGTACTGTATTTGGATGCTTTGAATTCGATGTCATACTCTCCATTTCGTAGCTACAGTTGGCAACAACTTTGGGTCAGTACAAGGTGTCAATCAGTATGTTGTAAAATTATATACTCCATCAAAAAAGGTTAAGTCTTCACAATCGGCCGGTTCGCTTCGATGGTTGTAAGTCCGGCTGGTGTTGATTTGTTATGAGAAAAAAATACTGTTGGCTGGTTGATAAACTCTGACTGAAACAATCAAGCCAACAGGTTGAATATCTGCAAATAAGAGCCACCACATTTGGAACGTCGGATTGGCCATGCTTCAGGCCACTTGTGCGAGGTGAACTAGTGATGTAGTACCACGCCAAAACTTAAATGGCATTGTTCAACGTGAGTGCCTAACCATTAACACAGTTCATTGCTGGACTGAGTGTAGCTCGGTTGGTCAAGTTTTATACGGCTAAAATGTCCATGAGGTTTGAGTCTCCAACTCACCGTGTGTGTCCATATTGTGGCCAAATTATTCTTCGTGATGATTGACCTAAGCACCATACCTATCAATAACAAAGCATGTGGTCTGTATCAAAATCCTTTGCCCTATGTTGCATCTGGTTCTGGAACAAGGTGGGATGGGACGGCTCTGTCTTGATTTTCTGGGATGGGGCGATCCCATATTTTTGTTTTGTTGAGACGACAGAGCCATTCTTGTCGTATGTTTTCTTTCAGGGTGACAAAAGGAGATGATGTATGTCGATTTTTTGATTCGTTAGTCACCTGAATCTCCTTTTCCAATATATATTGTTCATAGTTTTTTTAGGAAACTCAACACACACACATTAAGCAAATAATTACAAGATTTCTATAAGACTTTCTTGCAAATAACCATCTTCTTTCGACCTGCCGTGACCATGGGCTACCGCAAGCACCTTGTGCAACGATGCCAGCCATTCTTACCCATCCTCACTAGCCAAGATTGCAGCCGCTCCCATCCCCACTGGCCATGCGGGCCCCTCCCGCCTCCGTCATCGCTGGCCATGGCCTTCGCAATCACACCCATGCTTGCGCCCCGCAACCCCAGTGCTCGCTGGCCATGCCCGCCTCGGTCGCCCAAGTTAGCACTGCCCGCCGAGGCCACCCCGTCGACACCACTCGGTGTGGTTGCCATGCTTTGCTCACCCAGAGAAGATGCGACACAAGGGAGAGGAGACGCTTTGTCATGCCATAACCGAGGGGCGGACTCGTCTCCTTTTTTAAGGGATGAGTTCATCCCCGAATTTTAGGATATATTCTCTATGAGGGATGACTCTATCCATCCTCATCCCTAGTCTAAATACCATTAAAAGTGGGATTGAGGTTGGTCCTATGAAGATTTCATATTGTTTGTAACGTTTGTTATTTGAGCATTTTCTCTTTGGGTTCCTGTGTTCAATCCAAAATATTTTCAAAATGAGTTCATTCCCGGGTATATTCTATGTGAGGGATGACTCAGTTTCTCCTCATCCCTAGTCTAAACACCACTGAAAGCGGGATTGACGGGGTTGGTCTCATAAAGATTTCGGATGATTTGTAATGTTTGTTATTTACGCATTTTCTCTTTGGGTTCCCGTGTTCAATCCAAATATTTTCAAATGTTCTATTTTTGCGTCTGTATTTATACCAACTCATCATGCATTTTCAATTGTCATGTTTACATTGGTTCTGCATTCCAAAAAGGCATAAGAATTGGGAAGGAGAGATCGAAGGGAGAGTTGGAGACAGAGTCAAGATTTTGCTGGCACAGAAAGCACAATATCACAGCACTTCCATATCCGGGGTCACCCACACCGTTTTAACCGTGTTCGACTTTTCCTCTTCTCCACCCAAACGGCTAAAAAATTCAGAGCAGACAATCCTGGCCGTCGATCATGGATCCGAGCGCCATCCCGGCACCAGTTTCCATTAATAAAATTCCGACCGTTGGAGCAATCCCTCGAAACCCAACACCTACAAAGCTACCGCCGCCTCCCGCTTCCTTCTCCGCCATACCCCGTGCCCGACGAGCCCTAGGGACCGCGAGAGAAGGATTCGAAGGGAGATTCGCTCCTCGTGGACGGCGGCGGCGGCGACCATGGCGTCCAAGAAGCAGGCGGGGCCGGGAGGCGCGGTTCCCGCTCAGGAACAGAAGAACGGCGGCGGTGAGTTTCCTCCCTGGCGCATTCTTCCTCACGTTTGATTGATTCTTGTGCTGGTTCGGTGATTCGAGGGGATTGGAGTAGAAGGATGTGACTTCGGATGCTGCCGCGCTCGTAGTGTTCTCGAATTTCTCGTAGGGATTGTTGATTGGCTGGCGCGTCGCAGTAATGGTCGGTTTATTCTTGGTCGCCTTTGCATAGCAGATCGACGGTTCATGAATTCCGGGTCGATCATGTCGTCACATACTGGCATCGCTGCGCTGATGTCTAGTTCTTCGTGTATGGGTTCAGTTGGGGATCACGTTCTTCTATCGCCGTAAAGGGAGCGCCTTTTTGGAAACGAAAAAGATCTTTGGCTTTTGGTCTGACGGATTAGGCTTCTTGATCTGCAATTAGCGGTCCTGTTTTGGCTGCCGTGAGGCCATGACGGGTAATCGATCGGTTTGATTACACCTTGTGCTGTTCTTGCTTGCGGGTCTCTGATTCCATATCACGTAGAGCAGGCTGGGTATCGTTGCCATTCTTGTCCTGTTTGCTGAATAGCGATTGCAGATTTTCAACAATTCGGTTTATGTGCGAGTCTATACCAAATCGTCCCTTGTGGGCTTATTAATTTTGTTTTGTATATGCACGTTTATACCAAATTTCCCCTTGTGATTGCGATTCTTGTGCTTATTGATTTTCTCTGTCAGTAGTGTAATGAAGAAATCCATGATCTTGATGTGAACATGCATAATGACTGCAGGATCTTAACTGCTGTGTCCATAATGCTGTGGGAAATCGTTAATAAATGGGAATATGTTTCTTTCTCTCTTTATTCTGCAAGATTTTATATGGTGTACCTTCAGATTGACGTTCCATAAGTAGCATTCATAATAATGGATTAATGTTGCTTCGTCTTCTAAAAATTCAACTTGATCAGATGCGGCCAGACTCGTCAGGAAGCCAATGGCTACATTTCCACAGCAAGCGGCGGCAAGAGGCCGTAGGGCACTTGCCGACGTTGGCAATCTTATGAATGGCCGGCCTTCTCTTGTGAACCGCCAGAAGCAAGCAGCTGCAGCAACAGAAAACGGTCGTAAAGCAGTTGACGTTGGCAGCAAGAAGCCACTGATTCCTCAGGCAGCAGCAAGAAACCGGCGACCGCTTGCCGACGTTAGGAATCTTATTATCAATGACCGTGCTGCTCCTGCAAATCGTCAGAAGCCACTCACTGCTGTGAACAGGAATGGGAAAGCAGTAATGCTGAAGGAATGCAAGGTGAAGCCTGAAGTCATTGTGATCAGTCCAGATACCGAGAAGGAGAAGAAAGCCAAAACCTCAGGGGGTCCGAGATTCTGTAGGAGGGTACCAACACTTTTTGATAATTTGAGAAAATGCAGCAGGGTATGAACACAAGCAAAATTCTAAGGTTAAGATTGTCTCTTTCTTTTCATTCTAAGAATGCCTGCATAACTTTTTGTCTGTACACAGGCTTCTGATGGGGTTGTCAGCAGCCCGAAGAAGACAGATCCATATGACATTGATACGCCTGATTCTTGCAATGAGCTGGCAGTGGTTGAATATGTTGAGGACATCTACAAATTCTACAAGAGCACTGAGGTGAGATTACTTCTTTTATGATAAAAATGTGAACCCACAGTTGCTGCATTGCTGATTCAAAGGATTGTTGAAGTAACCATTTCTGATCATTGTTGATCTGTGGCGCTGTTGCTTGTCCAGGGCACCTGCCTGCCCCTCAGCAGCTACATGAGCTCGCAGGCTGAAATCAGCGAGAGAATGAGAGCTATCCTTATTGACTGGATTATCGAGGTACAGTACAGGCTTATTCTAATGCCAGAGACACTTTACTTGACCGTCTACATCATCGATCAGTACTTATCCATGGAGAGTGTTCCAAGAAAGGAGCTACAGCTCGTCGGCATAAGTGCCATGCTGATAGCAAGCAAGTATGAAGAGATATGGGCTCCACTGGTAGGCTTCCCCAGAATATTGCTGATGTTGTTTCTATGTGCTTCTAACCATGCTAGTCCATTTTTCGATTAGCTTACCCAAAACAACAATGTTTGCAGGTCAAGGATTTGCTGTGCCTTTGTGACAATGCCTTTACCAGAGACCAGGTTCTGACCAAGGAAAAAGCCATCCTGGACAGGCTCCATTGGAACTTGACGGTTCCAACAATGTACATGTTCATTGTTCGGTATCTGAAAGCCGCAATGGGCGACGAAAAGGTATAGTTATCCACTCATAGTAATGTGTTTTACCACCACATATTTAGATATTGACATGTAATATGCCATTTTTCTTCCGTACTTTTGGTGCAGCTTGAGAACATGGCATTCTTCTACTCTGAGCTGGCATTGGTCCAGTACACGATGCTGATTTACCCTCCATCAGAGACCGCAGCTGCTTGCGTCTATGCTGCCAGGTGTACCCTTGGAATGAATCCACGGTGGACTGATATTCTGGAGCATCACACTGGCTTAACTGAGCCACAGTTACTGTACGTCCTTGATGACTATATCTTGCCTTTGAAATCCGATTCTAGTCCGAAACATTGATTACTAATAAGTTGAGTTTACTGCATATTATCAGGAGTCTCTAAAATAAAATGTGATTTTGACATGCTATTGCAACCAATCCATTTCTGTCAAAGTATTAACTGAATGACCATGCTAAAAAAACATCCTGATAATATGTCGACCTAAGCCTGCTGTTTCTTTCATGATAAAACTTGGCATCATGATCTGATTCTAATTTGAAGCAAGTCGAGTTGATTGCATATCCTCAGTTGTTTAACTGTGATTCTGACTTGCTATTGCAACCAACCTACTGCTCCTAGCTGAATGCTCATGCTAGACAGCTAGAGACATTTGATCAGTTTGCCATATCTGGTGTTCCCCCCTTCGTATTGTATTGACTTGTGCAAGATATGTCATCCGTTGTTTCGTATTCTTTACTGTAGTAGGCCAGCAAAAAATATGTGCTGAATATTATAGCATTAGCAGGACACAACAATGTAAATTACTTTTGGCTTCTTTGGCTCATGACTAGGAGAGTAACTTTGTTGGTTGTTGGGGATGATGTGTGTAACCGCAGGGATTGCGCTAGGCGGCTGATCAGATTCCATGCCCTGGCTCCGGAAAGCAAGCAGAAGGCGGTGTACAAGAAGTACTCCAGCCCCAAGCTCGGGGCCGTCGCGCTTCAATCCCCTGACAAGAAGCTGTTGCCAGTTTGAGCTGGGGTGCAGAGGCTCGCTGCTGCTCATTGTTTTTTGTTTGTCGTCTCTTGGGAAACGACTCTTGATGCTGCTGTATGTATCATCGCTTCGATGGTACCATTTGTTTTGGTCGTGTGCTCTCTTTGCTCTGCTACTGGAGCAGAGCGTGTGTTGGTCAGTGTGGTACTTGAATCGTCGGCAAATATTAAACGAATTGTATCAGTCGGTTTGGTTAACGGTGATGTTTGTTGAAGGTTCTTGTGGAAATGTGATGTTAAGCAGCTTTGCACTTACCTTGTGACCTGTGTGCAATATACCCCCGGTCGGTATCCTCGCAAGATCTGAAGAAGACCACATATTTGCCGTTGTCACGTGACCAACGTTGTGACAGTACTAGACTAGTCGCACTTCGAGTTTGGCGGCTGGCCGGCTGCCGTGGGCCCGTGGCATGGTCGTCACTCGTCAGCGGCCTACTTGGCTCACCGGCGCTGAGCTCCGACACCAACGTCATCCCCCGAAGCATCAGGATTCAGGTGGCACACCTGGATTCCACAGATTCTTCGCCCTATCGGCTGGTATCCTCGCAAGATCTGAAGAAGACCACATATTTGCCGTTGTCACGTGACCAACGTTGTGACAGTACTAGACTAGTCGCACTTCGAGTTTGGCGGCTGGCCGGCTGCCGTGGGCCCGTGGCATGGTCGTCACTCGTCAGCGGCCTACTTGGCTCACCGGCGCTGAGCTCCGACACCAACGTCATCCCCCGAAGCATCAGGATTCAGGTGGCACACCTGGATTCCACAGATTCTTCGCCCTATCGGCTGCGCTTGTGACAGCACAGTTCGTGTTGCTGCAGCAGCAAAGTCTTCACGTCTACAGACTACAGTACTAGTTAAAATTTTGGAAAGAAGGAAGTAGGCAGCTGCCGCAGAAATAGCACAGCCGAGCATTTCGGCCTGCTAAGACTCCAGCCCATACCCTAGGCTTCTCTTTACCGGTCCACCCATATTTCCCACGAGGTAGAATTTCAAATAGAAGCCTAACATGTCCATAGATGTTTTTCATCTATATCCATCTCTCTCTCTCTCTCTCACTTTAATTTTTACTTTATTTATTTTCATAATGGCTAACTTTTTATAAAACAGAAAATATTGAATGGCTATTATTAATGATGAAGATTATACAAATTAAAGGCCAGATGTTTCTGATTATTATGAGAATTTTTATAATTTATATTTTATTTCTACTAGTCTTGTGGTGTAGACTTTTCTTCAAGAACTTCTGGTGAAGCGACCTGATTTCCGCGAAGGAAAATCCACAGAGTCGATGTGTAATAAGACCGTTGTAGATCATATTACCCAAATTCCAGTCAAATATCACATCCATACAACGATAATATCAGAGTACAAATAGAACAGAATTACATAAATTATTACATCGTTGCATTGGCGGAATCAAAAGTAGCATTCATTCAGAACAGCTTGAAGATAAGATCGCCAAACTTGAGCGTAGGAACGAACCCCTCAACCGTCAAACTCCTCGGAGCTATACCTGTGTGCCAAAATTTATCAGTACGATTTGTACTGGCCACTCCCACCCTATGAGCATTGCTTTGTGGAAATTGGATGCAAGTTGGATATAATCAAAAGGAACCTATAAGGCTGGGGTTTTCTATGTATTAGCATATCAAGTACATAATAATAGTTGGTCAAGTTTTAACACCATTCCCACACCCATTCCACCCCATTTCCGTTCCGCAGCCAGGTTTCGATCCTGGGATCGATATACCACCATCTTCACACCATCACCATACCAAACCCATACCATCGCTCAGTCGACAGGCAAAACTCCTCTCTAAGATCGTGTCTCAAGGCCCTGTAGCCCCCAGCTACGTCCCAACACTCACTCCCGGGGGAAGAGAGGACTCATCCCACTATCTAGTTTAAGCGAAACCGGGGAAAGTCCATAGCCGACAAGTCGGCATATGTATCGATCGATCAACCATACACTCTCTGAGGTTTTACATAACCACAAGATCCGCCTTCCTCGTCGACCGTCATTAATCAATGCTGATTCCTACCGCCTTGCTAGCCTAGGATAATGCCACTCTACCATTCAGCCTCTGTACACCCCAAGTCTAGTCAGGGGTGGTCAAACTGTGAGTCATGAGCCGGGTCCACAAGGTCTCCATGAAGTTTCGGAAGGGTGTGGGGGAAATCCTCCGCGCCCCGTACCTCCCTCACACCGTCCGCTATCAACCTAGCAGTAGTGGCAATATCATACCCAGTAGTCCGGCCGTCCCGCACCATATAGGGCGAGTGGTACGTAAGGCTTCCCGATGAATCTGAGTACTAGTAAGTCCTTAGGGATGACCAAGCCAGAATGTCTTCATCAGGGTTTCCATTTACCATGCCACCACAGCACCTCCACCCTGGGCTCCTCCCATCACAGGTTCACACCCAGGGCCACCTCATATACCATTTACCCACCACATGTATCCATTCCAGGTGCCCAGGAAGCACCCCATGGCAAGACTTGCCCCAGGCTCGTCGTATATTCCAACTTGGTCGACTCAACCCTCACCCTCCATGCACCCAAGTCACACACGCAGCACTCTTCTCATAGTTCAGATAACACCAGTTTCCACCACGTATCTATGTAGTACAAGCGTAGTAGAAGTAATAAGCAATGAAACATAGCAGCAAGCATGTGACTAGCCTAACAGCTGGGTGAGCAGGGGTAAGGTTGCGTCAAGGTAAAGGCCATCAAGTAAGCATACTACCATGCAAGTCCTATCATAGTGTGAATATAACAGTAAGGTAAAGCAATAGCAGTTCTATATTAGCCATGCGTAATAGGTGCTACGAGGTTGGGTGGGATGTGGCACCTTCAGTGTAGTCGTCTCCGTACTCCTCACGGTACTCACGATCCTCGTCCGTCCGGTTCTCCTCCGAGTCTACAAACGATCGTATTATAGTCGCGTTAGCGACATCTATAGAATAGCACAAAGAAGCAATGAAAATTCAAAAGAGCCAAATGCACTCAAACATGGGTTCATTGCGTAGAGCTCGATTTTAGATGAATTTTGGTCCAGGTTTCATATTTTTTTGAGGTCGTATGAATTAGTTATGAATTTCCAAAGATTAAATCATCTTTGAAAATGAAAAAATACTGAATTAATCCTGGGCTAACACGTGTCACGCTGTGACTGGTCCACGTGGCATGCTGACGTCAGCATGGCGTCATCGGCTCGGCTCTGAGCTAACAAGTCGGGTCTCGTCATCAACATCATCCGTTCCGACAAGTGGGACCAGGGGCTCTTGGGTCATTGACATGTGGGTCCGGTCAAAGTCAACGTCAAGTCAACGGGCGAGTCAACGGTCAATGGGTCAGGGTCACTGACGTGTGGGGCTAGGGCTGCTGACGTCATCGTGACGTCAGCATGACGTCACCTCGGCTGTGATGTTACTGACAGGTGGGACCCGCGTGACGTTGTCATGACGTCAGCATGACGTCACTCACTGACATGTGGGTCCCGAGCCTCTGTGTCGCTGACATGTGGGGCCAGGTCAACCGTCGACGTTGACCGGTCAACGGTCAACACGGACCGGGTCTGAACTGGGCCGGTTGGGCCTGGTCAGGGCTAGATTTGGGCGAGGCTCGGCCCGCTACGTGTCGCGCGAGGAGGCCATCCACGTGGCTCATCTGGGCTCCATACGGGCTCGGTTCTAGGCTGTGGGCGTGAGCGTGGCTCACGATAGACCAAGATGCGCTGGTCCATGGACCTATGGCCGGGTTCATGGTGGACCAAGTCCACTTCTCTTTCCTTGGGCATGGTCTTTGTGCACCGGTTGCAGGCGCGGGTGGTCGGCGAGAGGAATTCCCCTGCTTCCATTTCCGGGGCGCTCCTGCCGGTGGGGAGCTCACCGGCGAGCTCCTATGGCGGTGCTGGTGTCCAATCGAGGTGGGGAAAATCTCCCCCACGCCATGGCGACTGCAACGGTGGGGTCGGGGCGACGGCTAGGGCTTCCTAGGGCTCTGGCCACGGCGGTCGGTGGCTCGGCGGTGCTCGCCGGTGGTGAGGTCGCGCGTGTAGGCTCCCTGGTGGCTCGGCTGGGCGAATAAGGGCTTCTGTGGGTCCGTGGGAGCACGGCGAGGGCGTCCAGGGCTCAAGGTGGGGCTTCGGGTCCCCCATGTGGCCGGTAGGGGCTCCACGGCATCCACGGCGGCATGGTGGCGATGGCGAGGCACGCAGGAGCACTACGGGGCACCGGTGGGGCGGTCACGGCGTGGTCGCGGATGTGCGCGTGAGTGCGTGTGTACCCAGAGGCCGGAGACGGCCTTGGCCTATGCGCTCCCGGTGTGGAGCGCCATGGCCGGAGCAGCATGGTCTGGCGGCGAGCAGGGATGGACCGGGCTCACCGTTGGTGTCGTGGGAGATAGGGTGGTGATGCAGTGGCGGTTCGAGGCCGTGTAGCTCCGAAAGCAGTGCAGCGCTGTTGTAGCCGATCGTGGCGTCGGCTCCTGCTCCGGCGGCTTCGAAGGTGCTCCGATGGCGCCTCCATCTCCCTCCTCCCTCTCCCTTCCTTCTTCCTCTCCCTTCACTAGCTCGGGTGTGCAGTGGATGGCCACAAAGTGGCGGCGGGGCGATGAGAAAGCGCTAGGGCTCCCGGGGTCGGGGCTTTTATAGCCGAGCTCCATGGCACCCATGGCGGACGGCGATCGAGCGGTGGAGGCGCGTGCGTTGCATCCAACGGCCTGTGTGTGGTTGCGTAGGTGCGACGCAAGGGGACAGGGCCAGGAGATTCGCGTGACCCCCTGGACCGCACCTGCCACGCCGGTCGGGACTTGGTCGGAGAGGTGTTCGGCGTGGGGAGGAAGACGACACTGTTGCCGGAAGTGGCTGACGTGCAGGACCCAGTTGGCAGCGGTAGCTGGTGGCGCAGACAGGGGCGCGGGCATGAGCGGCGTGCTGGGCCGGCTCGCTGGGCCGCGTGCGCGCGCTGTGGTGGAAGGCG